ATTTCACACAGAGTAACATAAACGTACAATTCTTATTTAACATTTAAAGTATAACATCCTCAAAGTTTTTTGATGTGATGACTGCGACGGTAACTATTCACTGAGTGGTTGATGTATTAGAGCTCTCTTTCGTTCATGCGTTTTCTATTTCATTATTTTTATACATCATTTATTTTTTATATTTTATTTTTATTATTTTTATTTATTTATTTATTTTTTCTTTTGAATGGTGCATTTAATGTGGAATTTTACTTATCTTTACAAATATGCGAGTTAATTTTCAGTAATATGTAATTGTCATAATTGCCTACATTAAATTATGCAATGACATATATAAGAATGCACTTTGACGAAATCGAATCTTTTTTATATCTAAGGAATCAGCGTCAGCAACAATAAAGTCTGTCTGTTCCTATACTCTTTTCAAAAATGAATTTAGGCAGTGTATTCAATATGGAATTTTACGTATCTTTACAAATATAGTGTTAGTTTTTCAGAGTAATGTTATAACGAATAATTTATTTTTATACAGACGTACACCATAGATATCTAGTTATCCTAATTGCAAAGAATTCATTTCTCACATATCTTTAATGTTAAAAAGACAATATATAAGAATGCACTTTGATGAAATCGAATCTTTTTTATATCTAAGGGATCAGCGTCAGCGACAATAAAGTCAGTATGTTCCCATACTTTATTCAAAAATGAGTTTAGGCAGTGTATTCAATATGGAATTTTACATATCTTTATATTATTAACATTACTCTGAAAAAATAACACTATATAATACATAACATATCAATGTATGTGATTTGAAGTTTGATTACGTAAATTTAAATCTTCCTACATGTCATTGCATAAAGAACTTGAATTTCGAAACATTTTTACTCGCAATAATACATGGTATATCAAGCGTAAGACAGATATATAAACATATCAATGTATGTGATTTGAAGTTTGATTACGTAAATTTAAATCTTCCTACATGTCATTGTACGATTCATGGTGTTACTGATGGAACATACAGCGAAGCTCATCCACACATCCAAATGTTGTGGAAAATATATTACTTCAATGTCATAAAATGTAATTATGATATCTATGTATATTAAAGTAAGTAAGAGACAGTAAATTTAATCAATTTTTATAAAATTTGGATTATACATTTTATACAATATGTTTAAATTATATTGTACATGCTGCATTAAATATTAGATAAATAAATCTATATTAAAAAATGTACATATTTCGTTGAAAATTTATCTTTTTCCTAATCCCTTCATTATTTCTTCTTCATATCTTGATAATAAATTATTTAATAAGAAAGCGCGTCCGGCTGATCTACTTATACCATTAAAATATTATTAAAATTGTGCTCGTATCATTCTATTGTAAAATCGCATCATAAAAGTCATAAAATAAATACCATATCTTTTTTAATTAAAATCGCGTGCGAGAGAATATATATCGACAATTTGTGACTACTATACGTCAAAATTGCATTAACAATATGTGATGTATTAAAAGATTACGTGAAATTTATGATGAAACTTCAATCATGGAGTGTGAATTAGTAATGTGCGCTTCAGATGAAATTGTATACACTGAGTTACATTTAAAGTAAGAAATAAATTAATGTTTTATGAAAACGTATTAGGTGTTGGAATTAATTCGTAGCGTTTTACAAGTGATGGGAAGTACTTTCATTAATGTATTTTTTAATGCTCATGTGAAATAAATAACATTCTTTCATTAAAAACGCTACGAATTAATTCCAACACCTAATATAATATGACACTTAAATATATTACTGAATTTTTTAAGTTATTTTCAGTCTCCTTTTTCTCTGCCTCTATTCAGCAGTTTAGAATTATGTATGATAAGAAGGCGTGCAATTTTTTCTCAAATAAGTTAATCAAATTATTAAAATAAAAATTGAATAATAAAAAATTATATTTCTAATCTCTATTTCTTTCTGGGTTTCCTCCACAATCCTAAAATATTTTTTTCGCTCCTTTCTATGATATCATCTTGCTGGTCACGTAACTTTGGAATTTGCACATTCCTGTTTCTCCTTACCGCGAGAGTGGAAAAGAATCTTCTTTCTCTATAGTTATTTAGAATTGATAATATGACAGCTGTTCAATACGACGTAATACAATAAGTGTTCAATAGCTGCTCAATAATAATTCATAATAGTTTGATAATTAGGAACACTCAGCTATTTGTATTACATTACATTACTAAAAATATTATTATAATTAGTTGCTAAATTAAAATCATTGCTAAATCATATCATTAAGAAATCGTTGAACAAATACCATATTTATTTAATAAAATTGTGAGCAAGAAGAAAAGAGAACGTGAGAGAGAATAAAACGGGTAGAAGAGAGAGCGCGAATGCTATAAGTATAGGATTACTATGAGTAGAAGAGAGAGCTCGAATACTATGGCGAGTATAAGATTACAACGGGTAGAAGAGAGAGCGCGAATGCTATAAGTATAGGATTACTATGAGTAGAAGAGAGAGCTCGAATACTGTGGCGAGTATAAGATTACAACGGGTGGGACATACAATCATTATGCGCACTATTTGGCGCAGTGCATCTCGATCTTTAAATTTTATATCATTATGTATATTATTTGGCAACGTTGCAATGTATCAAAATTACATTCATGATGTCATCGCGAAATATGTCGTATTAATACGTCGAATGTCCTTAAAAAAATCTTTTATTACATTAATAAAACTGTCGTATATCGGCGCTTGCATTTTTGATCTCTTGCTTGTGTTGGTTGAACAATTCATATGCATTCCTGAAGAAATGTGATGGAGGGGACGAAACTTAGAAAGAGCTCGGGCAATATTACTGCATCAGTCGTTCAGACAGACCGCTACTGCAACATTTTTCAAGCATGTACGATTCCATGAGATTTTATGTTCAAGATGAAGAGTTTTATAAAGTAAGTTTTATACAGTAAGTTTTTATTTTATAAATTTTTTTTATACCTTTTCTCTACAGAGCAATTTCTTGTAATAAACCCCGTCATACACCTCGTATTGGGAAGAAGATTTACACTGACAGCTTACAAATACCTGGATGTTGGAATCGTCGTGGGACTTGTGTCTTTTGTGGAAATCATAATTGGCGACAAAGTAACAACATAATCTTGCCTCGTGTAATGTGGCAGGCTTTCATCGAAAGACGCGTGGATATTGAGCGATTCGTGCAATCAATCGCACCTTCATTATCGGTCCAAGGTCTAGTGATTGAAATCGTAAAAATGCCGGATGTGAATGTAGTCAAATTAACACTGCGCGAAACATGTCTGTGTATATGAAGCCGTCAACCGTGCTCTTTATGTTCTAACTCAAACATTGTGTCGAGAACGTATATTCTGAACTGTGCCAGTATACGCATATCGTCAATGAAAAATTTAAATGTTTTGTACTTTTAGGAGAAAATTGTATCATCGATAAATGTGATGCTGTAAATTTTTTGCGCAAAATTTATAATAAAAAATCAAATATAGAGTGTGAGTTAATAGTTTATGCTTTAGATAATATTATAAACACTGTGAAAATGTACATTTTATTGCTAATCGGAAACAGGTGCTTAAAATTCTATTTGAAATTAATTTATTTAAATTAAATTAAATGAAGTTGCAGTGCTTAAAATTTTATTAGTTGTTGGAATTAATTCGTAGCGTTTTACAAGTGATGGGAAGTACTTTCATTAATGTATTTTTTAATGCTCATGTGAAATAAATAACATTCTTTCATTAAAAAACGCTACGAATTAATTCCAACACCTAATATTTGAAATTAATTTATTTAAATTAAATTAAATGAAGTTGCTGCTTATAAATATTATAAGAACTATATAATAATTATATATTGTAAAATTACGTTAATTATAAAAGTAAACACATATTTAAATTATATGTCTGGATGTACGATTTTTATTTATTCTTTTCTTATTATCGTAGCGCTATCATATTACGCGCCAGTATCTTCACGCTCAACGGTACTGTGACAGGCGGTCACGACGTATTAAGCGTTCTCTCTATTTAAATCATTAAATAAAAAACGTATGATAAAATATTTTTGCATGCGAGAAGAAGATACAACGAGAACTACAACGCGGCGGGTAAGATGACGAAACATAAGAAAAAGAGAGGTGGTAAATATATGCGATAAGTGTAAACCTTTGTTACCGATGCATTTTTGGGGAGGGTGATATGGCGACGATGAGCGACGGCGGTCGCGATGGGTGACAAAAAAATAATTTGTAATTTTTTAATATTTACAGAATTAAATGTAAAAAAATAAAGGGATGATGTAAACAATTTAGAAATAAAAAAATGTTATATAAAATATATACGTGTAGTTTTTGTTTAAAAAATATTATTTACATAATTTACATTCAAGAGATGTATGCAGCACTTTTAATCTAATATTTTTTATGTAATTAAAGCAGCAATATTGACGATAATGTAAAACATTCTATATTTTTATGTATTAATATGATTATCCACGATTATATGCTACATTGATATTGGCCCGTATCAACATCACTACCCTGAATTAGTTTTTACACTAAAACTAAATTGCGTGATTCTCAATATACATTCTATTTCTGGGTTCTGCGATGTTTGGCGTGTCCTGTGTGTAATGACTTTGCACTCTAGATCGTGGAAATGCTTGCCGCGCGATAACCAATGAACATATTAGGAGCTGCAAATTTATTGGCTACCGTGTCACGTTATGCCGCCAGAGTTTTCGTGTCCGTGCAGAAGCCATAAGAGCCATTATCTTTCATCATATAAAATCCCTTTTGCGGACTTGCTTCCAGAAAATACTTTAATATTGTTCATTAGAACACGGATAATATTTCTTATAATGCTGTATCTCTTATTCTATCTTACATGGTTTTCAAACATGAGAAACTCCACCGAATTCGTCTGGTGGCGATTTCGCGTATTACTTGCGACTGAGTAATGAAAAGTATCCAAATAAAAAGATATCTTCTTTATGTTGTTTTTTCGATAATACGAAAAGATTTATCTAAGAAAACAATGTGTCGCTGGCTTTAAAGACATCTTATATAGACATCTTTTTGTTTTACCAAAAAATGATATCTTTTTGTCATCTTTTAAACATTTTTTTATTTTGTCGAAAAGACAGCTTAAAAAGATATCTTTTTCATTATTTTTTAGTACTTTGTGCTGTCTGGGGAGTCGATTCTTATATTTAAGATAGTCTTAAATATAAGAATATCTTAAATACAAGATGTTATAAATCTATGAGAGAGTCGTATTAACATTTTAAAATATTACATAAAATGGTATTGAAATAAGAATGAACATACATACTGGCTTAAGTTATTTTTAACACACCATAATATTCTTTGAGATATCTGAAAAAAATTAACTAAAAGGCATGTTTAAGATATTTTTAAGGTATTTCTGCGAGAAATTGAGTTTCTACAGATTCTTTTGAAATTGGGTATTATGTTTAAAATAATTTTAATCTATATATGATTAAAATTTTAAAAACCCTAGCAGTACCGAAATGGAGATATTCATTTTCAAAAAGTTTCAGCTTTTAACACGTAAACTTCTATGTTAAGTCTTGTCGAAGCAACGTTTTATTACTTTGCGGCAAAAATCTTCTACAGATTTTTTAAGAAACAAATATGCAATGTAAAAATATTATAGGAAAAAAATGGGGAGGACTAGCAGTGCCGTTTCTGGATTAGAGTAATTTAAATTTGTAATTTGACGGAATTCTTCTTCTCTCTCTCGGACGCCGAGCGACGAAGCAAGAATATATATATATATATATATATATATATATATATATAGTATTTATATGTTTCTAGAAATTTTCTGAAAATAAATAAAATGTTCGTGCACTTAGATACGACATTTATGCGACATTTATGTGTATGTATACCCTTGCCTCAAAAGTTTCTTCTTTCAGAGAGCACGCGATTCTAACGCGATTGTAATCGAAGAAATAACTTAAGCATTTTGAAACACGTCTTTAGACTACTATACTACTATACTATATGACAGTTTTTAGACATTTTTTTAAACTTCTGTCTTACGTAAAACATTAATAGCAAATTTTAGACACACCTATTGTGCACTATTCACTAAAGCTCATCTGTCATATATTGTTGTAAAGATATATGTTTAAATATAGAAACTAAATAAAAATCGCGATTAAATCGTGAAATCTTTAATAGTAGATATACTAGGCGGGTTCTAAGCCATGGGGCTAGTGTGGCGGTTGACAAAAAAAATACGGAACACATAGCGGAATGTCATGTTTACATAATCACTCGACCGGGGTCCTATGTTTACGTAAACATCGATAGCGCCGGGATCTTCCCCGCACTTACGAATATCCCCCACGCTTACGAATATCCCCCGCGCCTATGAGTACTCCTCGCGACTCGTGTTCTTCTCTAGCCTCATGGATTAGAACCCGCCTAATATCCCTACTTTTAGTAGCAGCAATTTTTCTATTCTCTTGTAATAATCAGGAGACACAGATTACGTTCCACTTAACACTCGCAACATTCGCGAACATCATTTATCCTTGTTTATCATTTGATAAACAACAAGAATAAAATGATTCCACGAGCGTTGTAAGCGTTAAGTGAAATGCAGCCACGGCATTGGGCGGCTTCGGCGCTAATGCCGGCTGCAGACCAGCGCGATATTTGTCGCGTGCGATATGCAATATCCAATGAGCTTTAGATTGAGAACATCGGTAAAGCTATACGTATACGTGATCAACCGGCATAAGACGGCGCTAAGTACAATTTACTTTAGACACTACTGTTTACTTTAGCAGAAAGCTAACTTATAATCTTACACATTCTATAATAAGTTATTAGTCATAAATCAGATGTTAGAAGCTGGAAATTGACCAATCACAGTCAATTTTTAACTTCTAATTTCTGATTTATGACTTATTGGCTTATTAATGGTCATTAAGACAGTGTTTTATGACTTAAGTCTTATGTCTTTAATAACGCACAAGAACTGTCTTATAACTTATGTTTTAAAGGCATCTCATATTTATATCTCTTTAAGACATAAGTCATAACATAGTTTTTGTGCATTATTAAAGATATAAAACTTAAGTTATAAGACACTATGTCTTGAGATTATAAATCAGTCTTTCTGCTACGGCCCTTAATTTAGATCTACAATAGGTTTTTAAATCTTAAGCCATGAGAAAGACAAATCATAGTCAATTATTCTCGCATTTGACTGTAATTACTCAATTTCAAAGACTATTTTCTCTTAATTGTGTTTATGGATTGAAAAATCCTTCTGCACAATTAAAGTACCGACAACAACGCAATTCGCCAGCTACATTTGAATTCGAAAAACGAAAGAAAATTGAAGACTTACAGTTTTGTTATCGGCTTCTGTAGTCAACACGTCACAATATGTGCTGCATATAAGAGTTTCAAATCTTGCACGTTTATAAAAAGTAGCTGGCGAATTGCAAAAAACCTAAAAGAACAACTCTATGCTTTTAGAAATGAGGTAGAAGTTTTAATATAAGAGAAAAGAGTATCCGAAAATTTTGTTTGTATATTACGAGTGAAATCGACGTGAAGCTATGAAATCAAGCAGTATTTTAGTTCCGCGATATTCCAACAGCGGCGCTGTCATAAAAAGTGCGACGCTGAATCATAGAAATGATCTAAATTATTGACCTACTCAGGCCCATATCAATAAACGTTCTTACATGCCCTGATCAAAGTTTTTTCTTTTGAGAGGAAAAATAATAAATTTATTTACTGAATTATTTACACATTCATATATCAGGACTCGGAACGCGATGTGTGTTTCGATTTGAGCTTCGATTCTGCTCGGATGTCGAAACGACAAGCGGCAGACGTATAAATAAAATTTTCGAATACTCATTGCTCTTATATTAAAGCTCATAACTCGTTTCTGCAAGCATAGTATTGTTCTTTGAGGCTTTCTGTGCC